CTAGCAAAATCATTTGAAAACCATAAGGTATACTTTCTACCATCATTTCCTTTGTTTCTACCCGAGCAGATCATTAAAATTCAATTGGGCCGATTTCTGTAGAAATCGCCCCCCGTCCTTTACTTTACATCCATTTCAAAATAAAAGGAACGATGGTATTTGGGCGGAAGAGGGAGAAGTTATACCATTATCTTTAACCAACGCACCTACAGATAGATTTCAAAAAAGAATAATTTTTTGGGGAGCTATTTCATCACGTGGGCTCATTCCATCTGGAGGTCCAATTAATTTTACCAAGTGGTTACGTCAACAACAACCACAAAATAAGAAAAATATGAAAAAATATTTAGCAAGTAATTTATACGATAAATTTTTAAAAGAAGAAGTCGAACCTGCAATAAAACTACCATTTAAAAATACTGCTTTAATACCGATTGTTCAAGATGACCAGGATAACAAACATCGAACAAAAGTTGTGATGAATACTATTGAATCTTTATTTGACGAACATATTGATCCTGAAATTGGTGATGCAAAATTTGCTGATATTTGGCCAATTGAGACAGTTTGGGGTGCAATTAAAGAAAAACTAAGAGGAGAAAGGTTTGAAAACGAGTCAGCACTTGAAATTCGAGTGGCGCAAGAATGGAAAATGTTCACCACAGCAACATGCGAGCAAATTATGGAAAAAATACCCCATCGATTGAAGCAACTGATAGGTCAAGATGGAGAGCAGATACATAAACATTAATCCAGGTCTCTTTATTATTCTAGAAGAATTTCGATTTGTAAATATCGTTACAACCATTGTTTTTATTTAACATCCTTAATAAAATAGCGGAACAATCCTCACAAACATAAATCAGAAAATTTCTATTAATTTTTACGTTACTTTGTATCTCTCTAACTATAAGAGATAGAAAGCTGAAATTTTAATGTAGAGTAGATCTAGATGTCTAGTATATATACTAAAAATATCAGCCTATTCTACTGAAAAAACATATAAGAAAACAATATTACATGAAGGGGAATCAGAACTTATTATACACCCTCTATTTTGTATGAAAAATCTAGAAAAACGAAACAAAATATTATTTTGATTATATATGCGTGATATTTTTGTATGATAAGATGGAAAACATTTTTAAAAATCCATAGCTTTAGATTGAGATAAGAGCAAAATAAATAATGATGAAAGATGCATGATTTGTTAAAGAGCAATGCAAAGAAATTGTTCTCACTTTACTTATATTAGTAGTATAAATTAAAGCGACTATAAATAAAAATGTTAAACATATATGGATGACACATATCGATTTGTAAAGAGTACTTGTTATTCTAATCATAATTAAGCTATTCTTTCTCTTAAAATTATCCTACAACGAAAACTCTACTTTTTTTCTTGATGAAAATCTTCAACGATGAAGAAGTTATGTCTAGTCAAGTAAGGTAAAGGTGAAAATCGATTAGAGGCAAAAAATCTCGTTTGACTCGCTTTCTATTTGCTTTTATTTTTCTTCTTCTTTTGAATGGATGAGTTCATTACTTTTGACATGAAAGATATCAAAAGAGCAGAATAAATGGTGTCGTAAAAGCAAGATCAATTATGATTTAGCAAAAACTTACTCTTAACTCATGAATTATACATAGAAATGGCATTAATAAATCGCTATAACTATTCGAGGAGACCTGTTGCCGGTGCATTACAGACTAATTAACTATACTCCCTTTGTCTGTTATTACGTGACAATTAACGGAAAATTTTCGAGTTTGATTGTTTCTGGACAAACTACCTATAAATCTAGAGAGAAAAAGCTCATTTTTAAAATTTTTTTACTGATTTTAGCTCTACCTCCCTTGATAACATCTATTGGTTAGTTGTTCATATGAATTTATCACTTAGTTCAACTGATAAAGAGGAACTTATACGCATTACTTTCTATTTTGTAGTATAATATACCTAATTTGAAATGTTTTTCATTAATAATGTTATAGCGATACTTAAGAATGTGACAGTCTAGTTGCACCTTGTCTTGGTCGAATGTCATACCTCCAAAAAGTGGCTTGTATTGCAAATTATTTCGGTCCTTACAAAAGCATATGTTGCATCTTTTAACTTCCATTCATATTTCCTCATCAAAAAGATATTACAAATAATTTTCCATATATTATACTTAGGGTGTACCAAAAGTTCTGATCACGACGTTACATAGCCATATAGTAAGCTTAAAAAAAACTTTCTTTCTATATAGTCTAATAGAGAAAAGAGTGCTCTATTTTGCTATGCTA